TCCTCCCGCTACACACGAGTGTGAGACCGAACAAACTTGCGAGTTATGTGGGCAAACTCCACCGCCAACTCTAAGGAGATTCCTGTGGGAATGGCGAGGGCGCAGGCACAGGAGATATGAGCAACTGAGAATTAATGCTGTAGGCAATGCAATATGAGAAATCACTATTAAAGCTCTGTGGAGATCAACGCCCGCCAACTCGGCGGAACCGCAAGTTTCCTGGAACTACACATCGGATGAGTTCTTTCAGAGCAGCATCAGCGAACACAAATGTCAGACGGAAGAAGCACCAGCTGCTGGGAGCTTCTACGAAAGCTTTCACGACCAGAACTTGCGAAGCCCCGCACCAGCATTCCACCCGAAAAACAAGGTAGTTGAAAGGAGCTGTCGGGTGTCCAGGCCAGAAAGCCGGTAATGATATGCAAACTGACCTTGATATGCAAGCTCACAGCGTACTTTGCACTCAGCCCAGCATCAGCCCTTGACAGCAACATTTCTGCAAAGGCCTGTTTTCTGCCATTTTAAAAAATGTAACCTTTCACAACAATGCTGTGGCTAAGTCGGCTAGGGCAAGGCAAACCTTGGTGTTTAAAAATATGACTTGCTCCGTTACTGCAGGGGTTGCGTCTGCCTGCAAACCTCCCACGGCCTTGCACCCGAAGAACCCTCCCCCCCAAAAATTGCATAGCCCATGACGCTCTGCGTGCCACTTCTTGGGGGGGGTCCCTCGTCCCCTGTACCGGGAACAAGAAAGCCACCCGCTCCCCCGCTGCCTCCATTCATCTGTGCCTTAGACTCCGTGATGGTGACATTGCCACCGGAGACGTTCATGATGTTCAATACATAGACGGCACCTGCGCGCGTGTGGCAGCGTCGCTCAACCGCTGCTTATACCTATGCCCGAATCCGAAGCAGCTGCCTAAGCCCTGAACCGGAAACCCTAAACCCTGAAACCGAAAGCGGGACTTCCGGGACCGGGCCTGGGCCTGGTCCCCGCTAGACTCCTCCCGCTACACGCGAGTGTGAGACCGAACAAACTTGCGAGTTATGGCATACGAGATATGAGCAACTGAGTAATGTGGCAGCCGTGCAATACGAAAAATCACTATTCAAGCTCTGTGGAGATCAACGCCCGCCGACTCGGCGCAACCGCAAGTGTCCTGGAAGTACACATCGGATGAATTCTTATTCAGAGCAGCACCAGCGAACACAACTGTCGGAGAGAAGACGCACTAGCAGCTGGGAGCTTCAACGAAAGCTTTCACGACCAGAACATGCGAACGTACTGATTGATAGCTTTAACCCCGCACCAGCATTCTACGCTTAACCAAGGTAGTTGCAAGGGAATCGGGTCCAGGCTTGAAGCATCATGCTACCGACAGAATGTCATACTGTCGGTTGTCCAGGCCAGAAAGCTGGTAATGAAATGCAAGCTGACCTTGAAAAACAAGCAAACCTTCGTCCCTGAACCCAGAATTCGCCCTCGGCCAGCAAGGAATCACCGCTTACTTTGCACTCTGCCCAGAATCAGCCCTTGACACCAACATTTCTGCAAAGGCCTGCTTTCTGCCAGTTTAACCTTTATCAAGTACACTGCTGTGGCTAAGTCGGCTCGGGCAAGGCAAACCTTGGTTTTGAAAAATGTGAGTTGCGGCGTTACTGCAGGTGCAGCACCTGCCTGCAAACCTCTCAAGCCTTGCACGCGAAGAACCCTCCGCCCCTAACTGCATGCAAAGCCCATGATGTTCTGCATGCCACTTCTTGGGGGGGTCCCTCGTCCCCTGTACCGGGAACAAGAAAGCCACCCGCTCCCCCGCTGCCTCCATTCATCTGCGCCATAGACTTCGTGATGGTGACGTTGCCAGCGGAGACGTGCATGTCCCTCACTACATAGACGGCACCTGCGTGTGGCAGCGTCGCTCAACCCCTGCTTATGCCTCTGCCCGAATCCGAAGCAGCTGCCTAAGCCCTAAACCGATAACCCTAAACCCTGAAACCGAAAGCGGAACTTCCGGGGCCGGGCCAGGGCCTGGTGCCCACTATACTCCTCCCGCTACACACGAGTGGGAGACCGAACAAACTTGCGAGTTGTGTGGGCAAACCCCACCGCCTACTCTAAGGCGATTCTTGTGCGAAAGGAGATGGCGCAAACGTATGAGATATGAGCAACTGAGTAATGTGGCAGCCGTGCAATACGAAAAATCACTATTCAAGCTCTGTGGAGATCAACGCCCGCCGACTCGGCGGAACCGCAAGTGTTCTGGAAGTACACATCGGATGAATTCTTATTCAGAGCAGCACCAGCGAACACAACTGTCGGAGAGAAGACGCACTAGCAGCTGGGAGCTTCAACGAAAGCTTTCACGACCAGAACATGCGAACGTACTGATTGATAGCTTTAACCCCGCACCAGCATTCTACGCTTAACCAAGGTAGTTGCAAGGGAATCGGGTCCAGGCTTGAAGCATCGACCAGATCTCTCATGGTTACCGGTATGATCTCATACTGTCGGCTCTGCAGGCGAGAAGGCCGGTGAAGATATGCAAGCTGACGACCTGGAAAGGCAAGCTACCCTTCTTCCCTGAACCCAGAATCGGCCCCGGCCAGCAAGGGGTCACCGCTTATGCTTTGCACTCAGCCCAGAATCAGCCCTCGACACCAACATTTCTGCCAAGGCCTGCTTTCTGTCATTTTAAACTTTATCAAGTACACGGCTGTAGCTGTGTAGCTGCGTCGGCCCGGGCAAAAAGAGGAACTAGCGGGAAGCCCAGATAAACATTGGCTTCAAAAATATGACTTTTGCGTTACTACAGCGCTTGCATCTGCCTGCAAACCTCTCAAGCCTTGCACCCGAAGAACCCCCTGCCCCAAAACTGCAGAGCCCATGATGTTCTGCATGCCACGTCTTTCGGGGGCATCCCTCGTCCTCTGTTCCAGAACCAAGAACGCGACCCACTCCCCCGCTGCCTCCTTCCCTCGAAGCCGTAGACTCCGTGATGGTGACATTGCCACCGGAGACGTCCATGTTCCATGCAGCGATGGCACCTGCACGCGTGTGGCAGCGTCGCTCAACAGCTGATTATACGTGTATACCCGAACCCGAAGCAGCTGCCTAAGCCCTGAACCGGAAACCCTAAACCCTGAAACCGAATGCGGGACTTCCAAAACCGTCCCCTCGATACTCCTTCCGCTACACGCGAGTGTGAGACCGAACAAACTTGCGAGTTGCGAGGGCAAACCCCACCGCCAACTTAAGGCGGGAATCGCTAAACACCCTGCCAGCCTCAAGGCTTTTGTTCCCTCAACCCCAAACCCGAAACCGGCGCTTGCAGCGCCGGGCCGGCCTGGGCCTGATCCCCTCTTTCTATTCCGAGCCCCACTCTCGAGTTTGGAAACCTGACAAACTTCCGAAGTATTTGGGCTGTCACTCCCTACCTCCATACGTTGCAGTGCATCTTTCTGCTTCGATCGTGGCATTCCGACTTTCCAGTCGGCCTGCAACAGTCACAGCTGCACAGAAACTCTCAGCTTGGCATTAAGCAGCATGAGTGTGTCTCGGAGCTCTTCACGCACAAGCGTTCGAAGATGGTGTGTTTCTAGGTCAGAGATGGTCAAAGCAGCAAATGCCGGTCCGGCCTTTGACGCCCATGCCGCCTCCCCACCGTTTTCTTGCATCGCATTCCCTCAGAATCAACTGGCCGCCCAGAAGTTCGGCATCGCCGATCACGTAGAGGCAGCCTGCTTCGCCTGCATCCTCTTCCTTGTCAGCCTGGTTCTTGCAGCCTTCAATGCTGAGGCGAGCTTCTGGGTGCAAGGTAAAGTTGCCCTCGATGGTGATGCAGGAGGCGTTGACCCTGCCACCGTCGCCGGCAGCCTTCACGTTCAGCTGCCCTGCGAGGACCAGGTTGCCCTGGAAGCGCACGGGAGCCCAAAGGAGCAGCTCGGCACCTCGCGGCCAACAACTTCTCGACTCCTGGGACTCTCCTCCTAGCTCTCAGGCTCCCGCTCCCCGTCACTCGGCACGAAGGCCCCTCCACGAGGACCTCCTCCTGCTTCACCTGCATGACGGAGTCCGTTGCAGTAAGGAGGTGGGGTTGTGATTTTTGGGGTGGAGCTCGAACATGGTCGAACTACAGCGCTCCACGCCCAGGAAGTGCCACACCAATTTAAACCAGATCTTCTCAGACCGGGCCTTCCTAGCAGAGTGTCCCGTTGCCTCTCTCTTGCGGCAATGGGCTTTCAAGAGAGAATTTTCTGACCAGGCGGCGAAAGCAGTGCAGCGAAAGCGACAGCGCGGCCAAAGCTCAAGCCCGAAATCCCTGTAAACCCTACCAAGGCCCTAAACCCGCAATCCCCCAAACCCAAACAAACCCTAAACCCCGACTCGAAGCGCAAAAAGGCACGCCGCATGGGCCTCGTAGACTCCGTCGAGCTGGAGGATACCATCCGAACACTTCGGAAGGCCGACCTGAACTGGATGTTTCAACACTCTAATTAGGATTTAGGGTGTAGGGTTTAGGGTTTAGGGTAAACCGTAGTATAAAGCCTGTATAATATAAACCATAATAAGCCCTACATTATATGTTTACCTGTAGAGCAAAAAACATAATGAACCTTGAGCACCCTACGTAAATCCTAGAAACCATAGTAAGCCTTAAACATCCTTTGGTGCCCCGACCCCAAACTTGGAGTTTCGGGGCTTCAAGGCCTCGGATCTTCGGGCATCTTTGCTTCGGCAGATCTACCTTTAATCGTTATAGTTCTCTCAAATCTCGTCTTCGACGTTATAGACCGGAGGGCGCTCCCCCTGTGACTCCACATGCACCGGATTCAAGAGAAAACCCTCTGAGCATGTGCACAAGGACCGGGTTTGGTGCCTTGGCTTCCGTTCGGGTGCCGTTTGATGTCTCCTGCACAGCGGAGTGTTGTAGGTGAGGTCACAAGGGAAAGTCATCTTGCACAGCACGGTAACATACAGTATCATTGAGCCGTCACTGCTTCGCTCGAGGAGTCCTGCACTCCGAGAACAGCAAGCGGTGCTTTGGCTTGCTTCTCCCGCTGCTCAAACTCCCTGGCCGCGTGACCTGGGGCCGGCGGATCAAGGAGGACTTGCGATGCAGGCTGCAGGGTGTGGGGGGGAAGCGGGGCGCCCGAAAGCTTGAACGCAGACGGCCTTGACCTTGGAACTTGGCTCCGCGCGTCGAGTCAGAAAGCTGTCGGCCTCGTCCAGGAATCGCTTGTCGGCAACGCCTTCAAGAGGGGCGCAGCAGGCCGGGCGGATGCAGAAAAGAAGGCGCAAGGCTGAGTCCCCGGGCGTTCAGCTGACAGGAGGTAAGAGAAGACGCCGACGCACAAGAGCCAGCACACCGCCATGTGGCCACTCTCACAATTGCAAGCTTTCGCAGACTACGTATAGATGCACATGGCGCGCAAGGCGTCCGAGCCCCGGGAGCTGCGGACTGCAAGAAGACTTGCTTCTGAGCTTCGAGTCGTCTTGCTGGGCGCTGACAGGGTTCTGCAGGAAGTGCTGCAAGTGGCGAATTCCGGGCTTTCGTGCGGATGCCTACTCTAAGCCAGGGTCGCCAGGTTTCTACAGCCCTGAACAACTCCTCGGATGATTTGGATCCCCTAAACCCTAAACCCTAGACAACTCCTCGGAATTCATTCTCAGAATTCCTCGGATGATTTGGGAATTTGGGCTTGGAGCGGATCCTGGCCATCGGGTTCAGGCCACACCACTGCATCAGCAAAACGGCGCCACCTCAGCTTTTGCAGTAGACCCATGACGATTTTAGGGTGTAGGCTGCAGGGTTTATACCGGGGCCCTAGTAATTCCTGTATCAGGGACTGTTACCTAAAGCAGACCCAAAATGCAAATACTCTTTTATCGCCCCCTAGCTGTATGGTACCATGGCTTTCAAATTGCGAAGGATTCCAAAAAGGAACACCCAGAGGGAGGATTCACTCAGCATGAGTCCCTGACCGTATATCCCATAGCCTGTCATTAGCACTAGTACAGTGTCTGAAGAAGTTGCAACTCTTCCCTATTATATACTTTAGCAAAGCCCTATTGCAAGTATTAAGGTCTGTCAGCCCATGATCGGGTGATGGAGTTCTCACGCTTACGACGGCCACGGCCCCAAAGCCTCAACTCCCAAAGCCGAAATCCGCAACCCTTTGCCCAACAGCCGCCAAACCCCAGAAGTCGGGTCTCCCACTCCCTACAGCGCCTGAAACGGGCTCTCAGAAAATGACTTGAGGGCCAAAGCATCTACGATATGATGGTCATGCAGGAGCCCTGATAAGAACAACAGGTTTCCTTGGTGTTCGTAAACGATACACCAAACCCCATTCTAACATTGAGGCCCCTCAGGGTCCATGCAATAGGATTCCTTGCTGTTCCTGAATATTATCACATACTAACATATACCCCAAAACCTCAACCCTAAACCCTAAACTCCTAAACCCAAAACCCATATGCATGTACACTGAGGGCCTCAAGGCCTCGTTGAAAGGCGAGGTGCCCCACGCTTCGAAAAAATCGCCCACCTGAGGACCAGGGCAACTGTAAGGTCCTGAAAACTAGCTTTAGCATGTATGGTTTAGAGTTTAGGGTTGAGGAAGTATGGTTTTCCTGGAGTAGCAAAAGAGCAAGGTATCTTAAAATAAGTAAATGTACCGATTTGTTTAAGGTTATAGCCCTCGTTGGTTACTCTCGGTAGGGTTTAAGGTGTAGGGTTCAGCCTTCATGGTGAGATGCGTATGTTTTTAACTACGTGGTCCGAGGGACGTTGCAGCATGCAATCAGTCCCGCCGATGAGGGTTCCTGATTCCGGAAGGTTTATAGGGTTCAGAGATAATGTCGGTAACATCAGGCATATGGGGTTTATTGGGTTTAGGGATAGGCCCTTACAGTCTTAGAAATCCCAAACTCGAGCATCCAAAACGGAGTTTGGGCTCAGCGGTTCCGCTGTGCGTGCAGGCTTGGTGCCTCTACCTACCGAGCCCCCAATCCCAAGCCAGAAAGCCTAAACCCTACAGCCTAAAACCCTAAACCCTAAACTCCTAGCCCTAAACCCCTAAACCCCTAAAGCTTCAGGAACCCTCACAACATCTGCGTCCCCAGCAACCTCCAGATCCCCGTAGAGCCGCCGTAGGTTGGGGTTTAGGGTTTAGAGCAACGGAGCCTCCATGTGTGACTCATAATCGTGATTGCCACCCTACTTTCCACTCCACAACTATGCAACCTCCCATGTTATGGAAGCTTCATGGTACTTGAGGGCTCAAGATCTGGAGCGCCGCGTGATATGTGCCACACTTTAGAACAACCCCGTAACACATAACCCTAAACCCTGAACACAAAACCCATAATCCTAAACCCAGAAACCTCAACCCCAAAGCCTAAACGCATATCCCTGAACCCTCGGCCCATAATCCGAAACCCACCACCTTCAACCCCGAAGCCTAAACCCATAACCCAGAAAGCGCTACTTGCTAAGAAGGTCTACAAGACCAGATCCATCCCCCTACCGTAGGGGTCTTACTCATTGGAATAGGGTTTCGTCGCCTATTCTACTATCACATGATAGCATGCAGTATCTCGTTACCTAAACCCTGTAAATGCTAAATTTCGGGTTCTGGGTCCAGGGTTTAGTAAGTGTGATCAAGGACATGTCCAACCCTAAACCCTAAACCCAAATCCTTGAACCCGAAACCCTAAACCCAACCCCTAAGCCTCCCGAAGCCCGAAAGTTCCTAATCTGGGGTGCACCCCGGAGCCCAAACCCCGAGAATCGAGGGCTGCATAAAACTTCACAGGCCCCAACCGCTGAGCCCAAGAAGGGTTTAGGGTTTGGGGTGCAGGGTTTAGGGTGTAGGGTTTAGGGTTTAAGGTTTAGGGTTTAGGATTTAGGGGTTTAGGGTTTGGGGTGTGAGGTTTCGGATTTTCGGAAGAGCATGCCCACTCTGGTGTCAGATTGCACGAAATGCATGGCTGCGGGCTTCGAGCTTACGGTAGTCCCAACCTTTCAGCATAAACGCACCTCTCCCTTCAAAGCTCCAAGCCCGAAGCCCTTCCAAAGCTTGGGAAACTAGACCCGGAGGGTCCGAGTACACCGTAGTCTTTATCAGCGGGGCTACCGTAACCTACAACACGACTATGCTAAACCCCAAAATACTAATCCATTGTTGGCTCCGTTGGGTTTTTACATAACGCAAGGCCTGAATAATTACCAATACCATTATATGCTTAAGGTTCCTCGCTAGAACTAGGCTGTAATGAATATACCACCAGAACCTGCTAATTGTTAGGGCCCTGAACGTAGTAATGGTAGCCCTTATAGACACCTTTGCAAGGGACCCTATTCCACTCAATAAGGCACCTATGTGAGGGGATGGTCCCGATCGAGACCTTGTGTTTCTTGTAGAATGTATGCCGCCAAGCATTGTCGAGCTGACTGTAAGTACTGAAAAGATCAGGGGACTGGGTAAGTAGGTTGCAACTGGAGCTGTGAGTCCGACTTACAGCTTTACTGATAGTGTACCTAGAAATCCCTTGACCCTTCAATGAGGGCGGAAGCCTAAACAACACAAACAACGCAGCAATGCCACAAGACAAGGTGCACTCTTCCTCCCTAATTATTGCTCAACGAACCTCAACTGGTAGCAAGCCCCGAAACGACAGGGAAAGCTCTAACCTACGACGTTGAGTAATTGATTTTGGGGCCTTAAGAATTACAATAGGGTCTTGGGCTCCTTTCTAGCACGCCTCAGCGGCGTGTCGACGTGTGCGTCTGTGGGTGTTCGTTCCTTGGAAGAGCTCGAAAAAAAAACAGGGACATAAAAGGGTTACTACAAGGCTTCCAGAAGGGTGCTAAGAGCCTCCGGGTTTCAACTGAGGTGTGCAAGTCTTATACCGTAGCAGCCATAACAAGGAGCCGTAACGAATAATATCGTCATTATCCAAGCCATACTAGTACTCAATCCTTCTTTTGTTTTCATCATCATACCACAACAATAACACACAAAGCTGCCTTCATCCCCCGCACCAGCGTCACAATGCTCTGTGATTTTCCTATTATGACCGTCATCACCATCGCTGCAACGCCGCAGACAAGCACTGCGCCCCAAACCCTACAGCAAAAAGGGGCACGAAGCCTAAATCCCAAAAAACCCTTTGTTTCCTGAACCG